TAATTACTTTTTAAACTTAAGATGATCAAAAGTTATGGATGACCGATTGTAATAACATATTTCAATTTTCTGGATGGTATGTGAATGAAATGAGAGTTTATTGCTGATGTATTAGCTTCTATTAGTCCCTATATTTCTTTTTCATTTGAATACTCACATTGGCTCCAGTGTAAATTCAACCTCCAACTCTTCTTGTTTCTGAAAATCAAAATGTAACATAAATGACACACCTTTGGCAAATGACTATTCCACATACGTTAGGTTCCCCATATCTAATCTCAAATAAATTCCTATCCCTTAATTTGAAAGTGGCATGCAGAGTCAGCTCGTGATGATCAAGCAGGGTTCACTCTCAAACTTAGTATATAAGCCATCCATGGTAGGATATCAGATACATTTTTCCAACCTTCTTGTAGAAATTGAAGCTAGAAGTTGAAACTGAACTCGAAAAGCCCTGAAGAAAATATGAACTCCATACCCCAAGTCTTTAAAACACCTTCCCTGGCCCTGCATGTACCTCCTAACAGGTCTTTGTCACAAAGCATTTTCTCGACAAATAGGAATAACTTCCATTAGTGCTGCATTTCTCAGAACCTCACTATCATTCCTATTTTATCCGACCTCTGCTGTGTAAGACTTTTTTCTTCATACACTCTTGATCTGGTACGTGTTTTTCCTGAACACAAATGTTTCTACTCATTGTCCCTATTGGCTAATGAATAGCATGGGTGCATTTTTCAAAGGTATACATGCCTAGTCATATATATTTTGAGATGTCTCTCCGGGTTTATGTGCATTTTTTGTCAGTGGAACCTGTTTCAAGTCTTGGAAATATACAGATTTGTGAGGCAAGATGTGATCCATCCTGTTGTTTGTCTTAGGAACTATAAAATGGTTATTTTCATAGAGAGATGCAAATGGTATTTTTAAAATCCTGCTTTCTCCCCAGATTACACATCTTACTTTCTATATACAAAACTCATCTAGAGAATAGTACATGAAGAAAGAAACTGCTAGGGAGGTAAACTGCTGGATTAAGTGGAGAAAGACACTATGTTTTTCACTCAACCATCGTTCATGTTTAAAGTTTTAAATCCAGAAGCTATTATATCTCCACAGCAGGCCATGTGGGCAGCCCATAACAACCATTAAGTTTGTGACTTTTATAAAAGGGAATCAGGAGAATCATTTGACAGTGCAGGAGGATATGGGGATGGATTTTTTTTTATTTCCAAATATTTGATTGATGAGAGTCAGATAATAAATGGGGTTAAGTTTTGCATTCAATCTTATGACGGTCAAAAATAGGGAAAACTTAATATGCTCCTCTGGCTAGAGTGAGACTGTATTTTGAAGACTGGAAAGGAGAGAGACTCCAGAAATGATGTATTACATGAAAATTGGTATAATTCAAAATTCTTCTTTGCCAGTGGCACAGTATGTCTATGAACGGCAAAAGAGACTTATCTAGATTCAAAGTACTGCTAAAGAAAATTAAAGCTTCAAAATATCAGTAGGTAAAGGGAAAAGTTACCTACTCGGGCTATCTAGTGAGAAGTGGAAAAGCAGAGCCCCTGCAAGTTAAAATTAAAAGTGTTCAAGAATTGTCTATTCCTGAAAATAAGAAAAAGTTAATCTTTTTTGGGTCTTGTGTCTTATTATCGAGCCTTCATATTAAATTTCAGCAATACTTCCTGAATTAACCAGAAAGAGAATGTCTGTTAACGTTGTTTGGACCCCAGAATGTCAAAAAGTCTTTGATACCCTGAAACTTAAGTTAGCACCTGTTTTAATGGCTCCAGATTTTGAAAAGTCTCTTGTGTTTCAAACAGATGCCTCAGAATTTGGTATTGGGGCAGTTTTACTTCAGGAAGCAAGTGATGGAACTTTGCATCCTATCTCCTATTTCAGCAGAAAGTTATTGCCCAGAGAAAGAGCTTATTCAGTGCCAGATAAGGAATGTTTATCAACTGTTTGGACTTTGAATAAATTTATATCATTTTTAATTGAAAGAATCTTTTGCTTCAAACTGACCATTTGGCGCTAAAATTCCTGCAGAAAGCCAAAGATAAAAATCGATATCTTCTTTGCTGGAGTTTAAGTCTACAAGATTTTAATTCTGAAATTAAGCACATTCCAAGACAAAGAAATGTGGTGGCAGATGGTTTGTCAAGAATACATTGTGGAGTGGAAGAGTGAGGAGAGATGGTTTCCTGATTTTGAGCAGGATTGCATTCAGTATTTGTACTAACATGTTTCTCTGTTTTCTCTTTCTAGAACTACACACAACAATAATCAAAGTCATAATCATATATAAATGCTGCTTTTAGTATTGTTCTACCTCATCCTAAGCTAGCTCATTGTTATATAATAATATAATCTAGAAATTATATTTAATCACAATTATTCAAGATATAAAATATAGTTAATTGTGCTCTAAAATGCGAATCTGTCAGAATCAGATTTTTTGAATCCAAGGAGAGAGCGTGTGAGGATATGGGTTTTGTAGTACTTGTTTTCCAGAATTCGCAAGTGTTCCATATCAGCCTGAGACCCAGCTCTTGTTGTGGAGAAGAACAAAAGTCACCGCTCAAGACTCATACACATTTCATTCCATTCTAAGTGCTTGCCAGCCTGGGAACAAGAGACTGAGCAGTAGAAAGTTATAAGAGAGGCATTTAACCAATACAATTTGTATTTTTTTGTATTTTTGTTTTATAACTTTTTACTCTTTTTAAATAAACCTTTTATATTTTACTCACACCCTTGTTACTCACACCCTTGGCGGGTAAGGGTGTGAGTGCCTAAAGAAAGTGCCTTAGCCACGAGGGCTATGCTTGCTATTTTTGTTCTTTGGCTGTTCTACCTGGTAAGGCTGGTGTGCAAAGTTTAAAGTACACAACTAAAGAGTTTTAACAGGCATGAGGATCTATTTGAATCTTTATTTAACATGTTAAGCATTTTTTTCAGCTAGGGAAGAGGAGAAGAGGGCACAAAATGCCATCATGGACTTGGAGAAAGGCCAGTCCTTCTGCATACTTACCTGGGCATTTAATTCAAATTTCATAAACATGGATTCTCCAAGTGGGACTTTCGCTATGTCAAACAAAACAATATGGTCGTTGTCATCTCGAATGACATCTTCATCACATACAGCCAATTCCAAGACATTCTGGAAACAGAAATAATGATATAAATGAATTAATGGAGTAGAAACCCCTGTTTACAGCTTATTAGGGAAATACTTGTAAACAGGCCTCCTGCTGGCTACAACAAAGCTGCAGATTAGCTGTAAACAAGACTTTCCTCCTCTCATCTTGTGTGGCCAGTTAGTAGTATGAACAGGCCCAGGGAAACCTGAATTCCCTGGTGTGATTTCACAGCGACTGAATGTGAGTGAATGTGCAACTCCCTTGCACCCTTATTGGTATAAGAATTTGCTTTATTTATTTATTTAAAATATTTTTACCCTTTCTTTTTCCTTAAAAAGGACTCAAAGCAGCTACATCAAGGTCTCAGGGCAAATGATTGGTATGTCTAGTTTTAAAAAAATATGTAGAAGAGTGAGGAAAGTCCTTTGAGGAAACTGTTAAAAAGTTGTTTGCCGTTAGGTGGAGAAGGCAGTAGCATGCTAGATGGACTAGCAGTATAGAGACTTTGTAGGGCTGCTTATAACCTAGATTGTTCTGGGACTGGTGGTTGGATAAGGAGGGCTTTAACAGACCAGAAAGGATAAGCTGAAATGCTTAGAACCGGGATATCCTGTTGGACTTGTCTGCCCTGGCTAACCTGGCTAACCCTTTTTAGGTTCATATAGCATGTATTTATTGCAATGGGATTCAAAACAATTTATTTGTGAAATGGACCCATTGGAGAAAATAGGAGAAACCACCAGAAAAGAAAGTAAATGACACAGTCTCAGTACTGAAGGTCTTTGGGGAGCACACAGGGACCCAAAGAGAGCTGCATTTTGAGTTCTGCAAGCATCTGAAAGTGCTAACTGACAGACCTGAAATGGAAAATGGTACTCTAGCTGCTGGTTAGATATATCTGCTGTACTTAGACATTTGTAAATTGAAAAGAAATATTACAAAACACCAAGATGTCTCCAGCAACCTTCTTTCTAAGCAAAAACCACCAATGATCTCTTTTCAATGCTGGATAAGCACTGCCTGCCTGCAATTTCACACTATTTAGAGAAGTAGGTCAAACATAACTGCATATATAATAAAAAAGCCACATGCCATATATAGTGGTAACAGTAAGGCCTTCTGTTGCAGGTGGTTACATCAGGTTGGCCCAGTTATAGGATTATCTAGAAGCACCCTGAATTAGTGTGCAGTTTAATATGAATGAGGACAGGATACAGAACACTCACAAATGCATTACTTAGTCCACCACCAGAAAATTCATGATAATTTTGATATGGCCTAAAAGAACTGAAGTATGTAGCAATTCGTATCCTACCTTAACCTGACTCTGGATCCTGAAGTAGAAAGTTTCATTCCACACTGGATCTCTGCAGTTTGAAACTGTTTTTGTCCGGGCTTTTTCCAATGAGGCAGTAGGCAGCCACAAGCTCACATAACAATCTGCTTCACTTACTGTAGGAAAGAATGCAGAATAATTAGTAATTTTATTAATGGTGGACTAGACTGAGCATTATCCCTGAGGAAGCAATTAAGGTTATTTACTATATATTTTTTTTGTTCTCATAGGCATTGCCATAGAACACTTTGATTGTTGAAGCATTATGTATACCCTTTGTTCTTTCAGATGGATATCTATTTTTATGCAGTGGTCCTCAGTCTTTCATATTTTATGTACCATGAATTATTCTATCAAAGAATCTGAGCCCCACATGGTAAAAATAAAGACTGGCAATTTTTTTCCAGAGTAGAATATATAGATTGTTACATATTTTTTTTTCTTTTTGTCTATTTATCAGTCATGGGAGTTTGATGGGCAGGACTGAGGAATTAGATGAAATACCAAGTTTCCAGAATGACTACTCTTATGTCATTCATTCATTCATTCATTCATTCATTCATTCATTCATTCATTCATTTGGACTTCTCCCCCACCCATTTAGTGGACAAGCCACTACTCTTGGCATCTTCCAGAAAATAACAAGAATATACAACAGAATGTTTAAAATGAACATACAAAAAGAAAAAACCTTAGACAACCTCCAAATAGCAAATAGTGCAAGACTCAGAATGGGGAACCATGGACCAGCATAAACTTACTACAAAATTAATATTACAAAGGGATGAGGTTTGTAAAGGCAGTTTTAACATGCTTTTGAAAGCCCAGGAGGGCGAGGGCTGATTGCACCTTAACAGGAAGAGAGAGTTCCAGAATGGGGCAGCCACCATTGAGAAGGCCCAGCTTCTGCATTACGACTTCCGGGCTTCGCTTGGAGTGGCCACCTGCAGCATCAAGGATTGGGAAGGGTGAGTGGGACAGGAGGATGCCCTGAGGGAGAGACACTCTGACAGGTAGCGTGGTCCTAACCATAAAGGGCTTTGTACGTTAACATGAGTACCTTGAATTTGGCCCAGAAGCATACTGGCAGCCACTGCTGGTGAGCCAGGAAGGGCAAAATATGGTCAAATTTAGATGTATCAGTGACCAACCTGGCTGCCGTATTTTCCACTTGGTGCAACTTCCAAACTGCCTTCAAGGGCAACCCCATATAGAGAACATTGCAATAGTAAATCCTTGAGATTTCCAATGCATGAAGCAGTGTTATTAGGGACTTCCTGTTGAGAAGGGGGCAGACGGAAAAAGGCAGATGGAAAAAGGCAGACTTGGCAATGGCCAAGATCTGTTTCTCCATTGAGAGAGCTGGGTCCAGAAGCACACCCAGATTTCTGGTTCTTCAGGGGAGTGTGACCCCATCTAGATCAGGCAACAAATCCCCAGCCTAACCAATCAGGATGCCCTACCAACAACAGGGTCTCCATCTTGTCAGGATTCAATTTCAGCCTATTTGCCTTAATCCATAGCTGCAGCCAGGCAATGTTCTAAAAGCTGCATAGATTCCCCTTCTGAAGAGGAAAAGGAGAGATAGAGTCACATGTCATCAGAATATTGGTGACAACACATTCCAAAACTCCAAATGACCTCCCTCTCCAGCCTCATGTAGATGTTAAACAGCAAAGGGGAAATGATCAACCCCTGTGGGACACCACATTGTAGTTTCCATGAGAATGAAACAGCTTCCCCAAGCTGGACCCTCTGGCAGCAGCCATCAAGGAAGGAATGAAGCCATTATAATGCTAGACCTCCAATTCCAAATCCCAGAACAACAGGGTCTCCATCTTGTCAGGATTCAATTTCAGCCTATTTGCCTTAATCCATAGCTGCAGCCAGGCAATGTTCTAAAAGCTGTATAGATTCCCCTTCTGACGAGGAAAAGGAGAGAGAGTCACATGTCATCAGCATATTGGTGACAACACATTCCAAATCTCCAAATGACCTCCCTCTCCAGCCTCATGTAGATGTTAAACAGCAAAGGGGAAATGATCAACCCCTGTGGGACACCACATTGTAGTTTCCATGAGAATGAAACAGCTTCCCCAAGCTGGACCCTCTGGCAGCAGCCATCAGGAATGAAATGAAGCCATTATAATGCTAGACCTCCAATTCCAAATCCCAGTGACCAGCCCAGGAGGATACTGTGGTTGATGGTGTCAGAGGAGGCCGAGAGATCCAGGAGGACCAACAGGATTACACTCCCCCCGTCAACTTCCCAAAACAGATCATCTAGCACACAATCCTCCAGTCAACCTTCCATAACAAGTCACCTAGCAAGATGAACAGAACTGTCTCAGTCCCATGACGAGGCCTAAACCCCGACTGAAATGGACCCAGACTATCAGTATCCTAAAAAAACACCTGCAGCTGATTGGACCAACCTCTCAATTGGTTTCCCTATGAATAGTATGTTAGCAACCAGATGGTATTGTTCAGGTTGTTGGTTGGCAGGTTGGCTTTTTTCAAAATGGGCTGGCT